ATAACGTTTTTAAAAACGTTAATCAAAAACGCTATGGAAAAATAACGTTTTTAAAAACGTTAATCAAAAACGATATTGAAAAATAACGTTTTTAAAAACGTTAATCAAAAACGTAATAACCAAAAACGTTTAAAAACGTTAAACAAAAACGATATTTTTTAAATCAATAAACAAAAACGAAAACGAAAAAATTAAAAACGTTTTCCATCCCTGATATTTTTACATTGAAGTTGGACAATATGTCTAATAATTTAATATTATTAAGCTAACAAGTAATAAGGTAACATGGTATCTGTTTATCGTWAATGTTCTATGTTACCTACTCGACAGAATACGTGGGTCGGAGAGAGAAAACTCAGTAGTAATAATTATAAGATTAGATAATTTTCAATTTAATTAATACATTCATGTCTAGGTTACTATCTAAGTCTTATGATGTGTTAATATATTTTTTCTTTTAAACATAATTATACGATATCATAGTAAAATATTAAAATAATGGTTTTAAAGTGGACAATTAGGTCTGGACATGTATTACATCTTAGACAGTAACCAGGTCCGTATTTAGGAGGGATCTACAGAGTACTGGGTACTGTTGCCCCGGGCGACTCAGCGACTGAGTAGGAGAGGATGGCTAATTTTTTATAATTTAAATTTGTATTTTTTATAATGATTGATGAGGCGTATTTTATTTTTGTTGCCCCTTGGTGTCAAGTTCCTAAATACGGCCCTGACAGTAACTGGTGGTGATTACTCTTCAGGATAAATACTCACCAGTGGGTATTCTCCAATCTCTTGCCCCTCCTAGATATTTTAACTTCTATTTTAACTGGTGTATGAGTGTAGCAACCAGACCAAATTAGTATCCCAATTAAAATTTAAATTAAAATTATTTTAGAACACAAGTAATATACTTACAACATTGTGATTTCGACCACATGGGCAATGGCCTGATTCAAATTTTGCACACATATACATATTATTCGTCGTAATAGAGCAGGGGCGTATTTAGATTTTTTTTGGGGCTGTGGTATTTTCTCCAACTGAAATTCCCAATTCAGCCTATGTAAGTTAGAAAATTTACATTTGATAGGACATAATAAGCAAACTTCATAAATAATTCCTGGATTTCGGTGGGGGGGCTGAAGCCCCCTCAGCCACCCCCATAAATACGCCCCTGTAATAGAGTCATAGGTACAAATAGCATTTGTGATTTGAGGAGGGGGGGGGCTAATGCCCTATTTTAATACTATGAAATCCGCTTAAAACAGTATTTAGGTAATGTTTGGGAGGATCATGGAATTTGTTGGTGTACTTTGTTCTTGGAACCCTCCCTTCAATTTACACCGATGATAAGAGTATTTAATTTTGAATAGAAACCACAGTAACAGCTATCGCTGCCTATTATCTATATGATGTATGTATTGAAACAATGAACCAGTTATTTTAGGATGGCTTCACACTATTTATAAAATTAAAATCAAAACCGTATATATTATTCATTTATTTCTGATTGCAATTGGTTATACACTGTAATTTACACGTTAGAATAATAAAGATACCTATTAGTTATAGTTATCAGTTATCCACAGCAGGTAGGCTGTCTATTTCAGTTTCGTCTTTCAATCTTTCATACATCCCCGGGAAATGTTGATTGTCGAGTAGTAGGTACAAATTTACAGCTAGCATATTAAATATTAATTTTTAGATAATATCACTGTATAGTTTATTATATGGGCCATCTATTATTTTGTATGCAAAGGCTTATGTTTTAAACGTATGCCTGTAAAAAAGAAGGCAACAGATGGCGCTACTKTTATCATATAAACCGACTTATAGACATCTATGTAGAGGTAGACCAGCGATTCTCAACCGCCGGTCCGCGGACCAACGTCCCACTCCAGTCCACAACAAAAAAAGGAACCAGTCCATGTTAGTATATTGGACAAAGTTATATTACATTAAATATTGTTTTTTACATTAAATTGTACTTATTATGTATTATATATTAAATGATACACCGGTATTTTTATATTTTATTTACAATATTTATACATAATATAGGTTATGATTTTAACTTTTTATTAAAT